GGCCACACCAATCTTGGGAAATGACTCTAAGATGATAGCTAGGAAAGGCAACATTTGATTGGGATTTGGAAGAGGAGTGGAGATTTTTCAGGTACATGAATAAAGAAATGTCATCTTGGCAGAGGAAATTATAGGAAAAAGCAGGAAGAAATGATAGAGAATATTATGCTTGGAAAACTATTAAGATTTTATTTTGGGGCTGGAGAGATGGCTCAGAGGCTAAGAGCACTGACTGCTCTTCCAGAGGTTCTGAGTTCAATTCCCAGCAACCACATGGTGGCTCACAACCATCCGTTATGAGATCTGCTGCCTTCTTCTGGTGTACAGATATGCATGGAAGCAGAATGTTGTATACATAATAAATAAAATCTTTAAAAAAAAAGATTTTATTTTGTGTGAAGAATAGTATTTGTGTTGAAAAGTGTGGGAAACAAAGCTGGATAGGTGTACAGGTTCATGGAAATGACATGTTTTGCCTTGATTCCCCAAGAAAGCCTTTCTTTCTTTCTTTCTTTCTTTCTTTCTTTCTTTCTTTCTTTCTTTTTTCAAGACAGGGTTTCTCTGTGTAACAGTTCTGGATGGTCCTGGAACTCACTCTGTAGACCAGGCAGGCATCAAAAACACAGAGATCTGCCTGCCTATGCGCCTCCAGTGCTGTGATTAAAGGTGTTCTCCACTGCCTGCCTGCCTGGCTGAAAGCACCAGCCACTGCCTGGCTGAAAGCCTTCTTTTTTTCTTTTCTTCTCTCTTTCTTTCTTTTTCTTTCTTTTTTTTCAAAACAGGGTTTCCCTGTGGCTTTGGAGGCTGTCCTGGAACTCGTGCTGTAGACCAGGCTGGTCTCGAACTTACAGAGATCCGCCTGCCTCTGCCTCCCAAGTGCTGGGACTAAAGGCATGTGCCACATCTGCCTGGCTTGAAAGCCTTCATTTTTATTTATATATTTATTCCTTTAAATTTTCTGTGTACATATGTGGGGAGGGGCATACATATATTACTCTGGGTGTATGTGTGTGCATGTGTATTCACAAATGCCCACACAACAGTGCTAATTTGGAGATTGGAGGACAACTTGCAGAAGTCAGTTAGTTCCCTCTGTAGCACAAATAAAAAAAAAACCTAGAGGCAGACATTGGGGTTAAAACTGAAGATCACAGAAGCAAAGCAGCCAGCCACTAAAGAGTTCTCACCTCTACTAATGCTCAGACAGAAGGAGTGATCCTGTCTACTGAACCTCTGACTGCTCTGCTCTCCACCAAACCTCAGACTCCCTCAGCTCCTGTCTTCTCCCGCCTTATATTCCTCTCTGGTGCTGGGATTAAAGGCGTGGGATTTCAAGTACTGAGTTCACCTTTGTGTGAGCTCTGTTTCTCTTTTAGATTGGTTCAATTTAGTGTAGTCTTGAACTAACAGAGATCTGTCTGCCTCTGCCTCCAGAGTGCTGGGTGTATGCCACCGATTCCTGGCCTCTATTGCTGTGGCTGGTTTTGCTCTCTGATCTTTCGGCAAGCTTTATTTGTTAGATCATAAACAAAATATCACTGTATCCCTCCTTACACAATGTAGGACCCAGGGATAGAGCTCAGTTTGTCAGGTTTTGCAGCAAGCACCTGTACCTACTGAGTCTTCCCACTGTCTCAAACTGGCTTATCTACTACCTACTTGAAGAGTGGTACTTAATACTCATCTCAGAGAATAACTCAGAATGTCCTTCATTGCTCATACCTAACCTAACACCAAAGTCTTCCCTTTGTACCTCTAGCAATTATCATATTGATACCTCTGTATCTTGCTTAAATCATCACCTTACTCTGTTTCCACTTTCTCCTCCACTATTCACTCTTTACTGGTCTTAATCATAGCCTCTCCAACCCTTTGATCTGTACTTCACAATGTGACTCTGTCCTGTCTCTTTAATCTCTTTTCTCATCATTTTTTTTTAGCCAAACTTGAAAGTCTCCTAAAATTACGCCACTCTTTTACACACACACACACACACACACACACACACACACACACACACGCTGGATTAATGATAGAGGCAGGGTTATGCCTGAGTCTCTATTCTGTGCACACTCACCCATTCCTATATCTCTACTGTGCCTCCTATGGAGAGGCAAACAATAAATACTTTATAGCAATGGGTTTTATAGAGGAGAAAGAAGAGAAAAGAGGAAGTTAAAGGTCATCTTCACTACACAAGTTCAGGGTAAGGCTAGAATGCATAAGACCCTGTCTCAAACAAAACAAAATGACAACAACAACAAAAACCTAGCACCTAAGTAGCTCACCAAACACATATTAGGAAAAACCAATCCTGGACTAAATGTTGAGGATACAGAGATTAATATACAACTGTTCTCAAGAGTTCACAGTCTATAAAAGATCTTTAAACATAAAAATACAAGATCTTAAAGACTTAGATCCTGACTGTTTCATTTTATCATGTAGCAAAGGATTTATAAATCTAACCTCTAGTCTCGGTTTTCAGAGCTGATTGACTCTATGAGAATCACTCTGACATTCAACTGCTTAATAGTAACTGAAGATAGCTACCTTCTGTTAGGTGACGACTATGTGAAATATATTATTTATTATGCTCCGTGCATCATTTAGCCATGAACTTGTCTCTTTAAATAATCTTGTGTTAGATGGGGTTCTCCAGAGAAACAAAGATATAGAGGATATGTATATACAGACATATGTATATATACATAAATATGTACCTATGTATTTGTATACATATCTATTATCTATTTATTGAGATTTTATTGTAAAGAATCAGCTCATATTATTATGAAAATTGACAAGATATGCATAGTGAATTGGCAAGCCAGAGACCCAGAAGTGTCTCAAGGCCTTACAGCCATGAGAATTGATAAATGTAGTTATACTCTGAAGGTTGGCAAGCACCAGAACTAGAAAGGTCTTATATTTCAGCCTGAGTTGGATAGCAGGAAACAAATGATATTCATGTCAAAGGACATCAAATAATAAAAAAATCTCTAATTTGGAGTAAAGTCAGCATTTTGGTTCTATTTAGGCTTTCCACTGATTGGATGAGGCCCACTCACATTAGGGAGGGCAATTTGCTTTACTTACTCTACTCATTTAAATGTTAATCAAATTCCAAAACATCATAACAGAAACACGCAGAATGTTTCACCAAGTATGTGGTTGCCACATTGCTCAATAAAGTTGACACATAAAATTGACCATAATAGTTTCCTTGTCTTCTGCACCAGATGTGAGAAATAGATTTATCTACACAGCTGTTGGTGGCTGTTTGGAATTTCATTTTAGGAAGCATAGATGAAAGTTAGGATCTTGGAAGGAATGCTGATAACAAACCACACTACCACTGAAGCCTAATTCATATTTACCATGTTTTTTGTTTGTTATATTTGCTGTTTAGAAAAAGGATTTTTTAGACTGTTTCTTTGTATAGCCCTAGCTGTCCTGAATTTGCTCTATAGACCAGGTTGACCTTGAACTCACAGAGATTTGCCTGCCTCTACCTCCCTAGTGCTGGGATTAAAAGCCAGGATTTTATTTTTATTTATGTGCATGTGTGTCTGTGTCTGTAAGTATTCACATGTGAATGTAGGCACCCGAGGAGGCCAGAGAGCTTGTTGAACACCCAGAGGTTGAGTTAAAGGAGGTTGGGGCTTCTGATGTGGGGCAGAGAACCTAACTCAGATCTTCTGCAAGAGCAGTAGGAGTTCTTAACAGCTGAACCTCTTTCCAGCCCCTATTCACTAGTTTTCACACCTTTTTTTGTTAAGAACAGCAACAGTAGCCAGCCTGGTCTACAGAGTGAGTTCCTAGACAGGCAGGGATGTTATACAGAGAACCCTATCTCGGGAAACAAAAACAAAAAAACCAACCAAACAAACAAACAAACGTCTACAGAGTGAGTTCCTAGACAGGCAGGGATGTTATACAGAGAACCCTGTCTCGGGAAACAAAAACAAAAAAACCAACCAACCAAACAAACAAACAAAATAAAATAAAATAAAATAAAATAAAAAAAGCAACAGAAAAAATAATAAGAGATCACTACATATTTGCTATTTCATCCCGTGCTGATTTCATCATGTACTCAACATTCCCTCTGAACACAGTTTATGTGTCTAGCTTGGTAACTTGAATTTCTCATTGTTGTAAAATAATTCTTATGTGCCACTTAAGGGCAGGAACTATGAGAACATTTTTGTGTTCCCAGGATCTATCCAAGGACTAATAAGAAGTATTTCTAGGAAAATTGTTGGTAGCTAGGTGTGGTGGCATAAGCTTGTAATCAAAGCATTCTGGAAGCAAACACAAACTCAAGGCCAATCTGGTCTACACTGGAGACCCTGTCTCAAAAACAAACGAAGCTGTTTTTGTTGTGTAAATAAATGCATCGGTACACTGACATTATATCATGTAAGAAAGAAGTGTCAGAGTGAAAACCTTTTCATGTAAACAAGACTGCTTTAAATTCAGCTCTCAGTTCACTGATCCCAGATAAATCTCCTCATCTCTTGATTTCTCAAATCTTTATCTCTAAAGCAGCAATATCGCTCTAGGAGGTTTCCGAAGAATAAAGTGAGCACAAAGTATTGCATACAATGGCCACTCAATAAAAGATAATTATTCTCAATTATTATGAGGGAATGGAATGTTAGGTTCACACGGGATTATCTGAAGTCGAGGTTGCCAGCCAAGGTTTCTATGTTTTATATTAGAAGCTGGAATAAATTAATCAGACAGGATCTGAGTCCTAAAGGATTTCAAATATGGGAAAGAGACAGTAAATAATATATAGCGTCGTAGGTGTGATACCAAAATTATGTGAAAAGCAGTCGAGTAACACAAAGAATGGCAACTAGTTCTTCTCAGATTAATACAGAGAACGTAACACAACCTGGAATGACAGTAGAATTTAGAGAGATTTCTATTCCTTGGGTTTTAAAAACTTCCGGAACCAAGGTGCTAGGGAGTAGAGAGAATCTCGGTCAGATTTTATAAGCGGACCCGATTAAGACATTTCCGGCCGCGTCTCAGAAACCTCGGGGTCGTGGCTGGTGGGTTGGATTTCTGTTTGCTCAGAAGCTGCAGTAACCAAGAATGAGCGGAACCCTGGGAAAGGTAACGCAGATTCCACGCACGCAGGGCGCTGGGGAGGCGGAAGGCAAAGTAGAGCTGGAAAGTGGTGGCGAGCAGATATTCGGGCCTAAAACACTGCGAACAGGCCTGTCCCAGCAGTCCTTGCGGTGCTTCACTGTCAATTCGTCCCCCCCAGGCCAGGGTGAATTTTGCAGTCTCGCGCCACGCCTCCTCCGCGTGTCACCTCGCTGCTCTGTGCCCAGGAAGAGAAGAGCCTACGTGAGGAATTAGGACACCAGGACGTAGCCCCCATACATTGTCTGACCTTGGGCAGATCTTTTTATTATTTTTACGTTTAATCAACTTCAATAATCTTACCTTGCTGAAGTAGTTGGGCTATGAATGAAGCTACTCGGTGATAAGAGGACTATGATAATGATAAACTACATTTTTCTTACAAAACCTTATTTACGAGTCTATCAAAGAACAGGGTGAACCAACCATTTTGTTGTTCCTCTTTGGCTTCCAAAATCTTATTTAAGAGGCTATGGAAAAACCAGCCGAGCCTTCATTCCTTTTTGTTTTCCCCCTCCTTTTTCTCCTTCCAGTTCCCCACCCTCAGCCATCATTCTCTTTACGAGGCGGGGGAGGCGGGGTCTCAACATGTAGCCCAGACTGCTTTTGCACTCACAGTCCTCCTGCCTTAGTTTCTCCAGTGCTTGGATCACAGTCATACACCATTGACCTAGCCAAATCACCATTCTTAAATCTGGCCCTTATTTTTCTCTTTCCATAACAAATTTAACAGATCTCAGTTGGGCTTCCCATTTGTGTCATGCTGCTTAGATTTTTGATATTCTCTTTCTCTTTATATTGAAATTTTATTTTAGGCATTAATTGTAGATATTAAATGTATGTATAAATCCATATGGTCTTTGCCACTTGTGGATGTGGGACTACACTTGAATGTTTAAATTTGAGTTTCTCTCTTCATCTCTTATTCTCTTTAGCCAATTTGTGATAGCAGGTCTGGTGTAAGGATAATAGAAATAAGTCCAGTTAAACATTCCAGTCTATTTATTCTCTGGCTGTGTCTTCCATCCAAGGAAGAGAGGATCAGGATTCTAAGAATGTGATTCCCAACTACCCATACTCCAGAAGAGCCCTTGGAAACCTGGCATTAAGGCCATCATCTAAAGTCAGGCATTGGGGTAGTGCCTTTAATCCTGGAACATGTGAGGTAGAGGCAGGAGGATCAGGAGTTTAAGGAAAGCCTTTGTTACAGATTGGTTTGAGGCCAGCCTAAGCTGTTTGGGATCCTGTCTCAAAACACAAAAAAAAGAAAAAGAAAGAAAGAGAGGGAGGGAAGAAGGGAGGAAGGAAGGAAGGAAGGAGAGAAAAACACCAAAAGTATGATAGAAGATACTGTAAATAAAATGAGTACTTTGTAAGGGATGAAAGATGGTGCTAATAAATATGTTGGTATTTTGTAGTCATTTGTATAGTTTTATTTGCTCTTCACATATTAAGCAATCCCATTAGACAGAATAGATGTGGACATTCAAATGTCAGTGGTTCTAAAATATGTTCTCCTAATGACCTACAGGAAGATAGATTTTGATAGTCAGTACAGTCATGTTAGAAGAGGTAGCTAAAGGAAGCAGTAGAAACAGTAATTTTTGAGAGAACTTAGAAAAACTTGAAAGCAGTCATTATTGTACTCAATGTGCTTGTACTTGATGTGCTAGTATGAAAAGGAAGAACCATGTTTATTCTGTTTACAAGAGTGGGGGACTAGGTTCAAACTGTGGAAGACACAGGGAGATTGGTTTGGATTTCCTAGGTGTGAGACCCCTCTGATACTTAAATGTGTCTGCAGATGTTTAGGTTCTGAACCAGGAAGGTACGTAAGTAGTAGATGCATTGTTATGGATGGGGTGTAGGGGTGCTGTTAGCCCTCTGGGTACTGGCTAAGGACAGTGAGGAGAGCATGAAGCTTCTGTGTTTTTCATTGCCTCCCCTTCTTTTCCTCCTCCTTTTGAATTAGGCTACTTTGTTTATTTTATTTATTTATTTGTTTTTTGAGACAGGGTTTCTCTGTATTGCTTTGGAGGTTGTCCTGGAACCCGCTCTGGAGACCAGGCTGGCCTCGAACTCACAGAGATCCACCTGCCTCTGCCTCCCAAGTACTGGGATTAAAGGCATGAGCCACCAACGCCCAGCCTGCTTTGTTTAATTTTATTGAGATAGTATCTCACTTTTTGCCTAGGCTGACCTTGAACCTGAAAATGGTGTTTGCCATTTCACTCAGTTCAACTTGAAATTTCTTTCTTTTAAAGATTTATTTATTTATTTATTTATTTATGTATACAGTTCTTTGCCTACATGTACCTGCAGGCCAGGGGAGGACACCAGATCTCATTACAGATGGTTTTGAGCCACCATGTGGTTGCTGGGAATTGAACTCAGGACCTTTGGAAGAGCAGGCAGTGCTCTCAACCACTGAGCCATCTCACCAGCTCCTCAACTTGAAATTTCTAATGCATGAATCCAAGCAAACAAGAGCTACCCAGTAGAATCTTCCTGGAGAAGTGGTTCAGTGATAGGATCACTTACAGCTCTTCTAGATACAGGTTCATACCTGCAAGTAACTTCAGCTCCAAGCTCTCTTCTGGCCACCATGGGAATTACATACATGTGGCACATATTCAACATCAATAAAAATAAAAAATGATAAACCTAAAAAACAGTAAGTATTCTTTATAAGAATTAGAATGCATGCCAGGGTATTGCTTAGTCCAGGAAAGAGTTTAAGAGTTACCATGTAATAGTAGAAATTGCTTTGCAGCAAGAGGATATGCTAGATCAGTGGTTCTCAACCTTCTTAATGCTGCAACCCTTAATACAGTTCCTCATGCTGTGGTGACTCACAACTATAAAATTATTTTCTTTGCTACTTCATAACTATAATTTGCTACTGTTATGAATTACAATGTAATTATCTGATAAGCAGGATTCTTGATATGTGACCCCTATGAAAGGGTCATTAATTCTCCAAGGGGTCATGACCCATAGGTTGAGAACCAGTGTTCTAGATGGAAGAGCCGAAATTGTGAGGTCACCTAGAATACCCTTACTGGTTAACTGCCAATATTAGACTTTTCTTTTTCTTTTTGAGACAGACTCTCACTGTGTAGCAACAGCGGTCTTGGAAATTCTCTACATAGACCAGGCTGACCTCAAACTCAGAGATTCACCTGCCTCTGGCCTGCAGGTACTGGAATTAAGGGCATGCAACACCACCATGCCTGGCTTTAATTAGACAGTTGAATTCACTCCTCAATAAGTATGGTAGATACTTACATAGTATATAACACATATGTTTTTCTTCTCTGTGAATGAGGGTAAGAATATCTACTTCACAGAACATTCTTGAGATTAAAGGAGAGGATGGTAGGTACATGGCTGTATTGATTGAAAGAAAATGGTCCCCAAAGGGCCTTGTTGAGGAAGTGTGTCACTGTGGGGGTGGGTTTTGAGCTCTCTCTCAAACTCCCTTCAGTGTGACAGTCAGCCAGCTTATTGCCACCAAGATGTAGCACTCTCAGCACCATGTCTGCCTGCATGCCACCGTGCTCCCCTTCATGATGAGAATGAATTGAACCTCTGAACTGTAAGCAAGCCACCTTCAGTTAAATGTTTTCTTCATAAGAGTTGCCACAGTCATGGTGTATCTTCGAAGCACTAGTAAACCCTAACTAAGACAACAGCCATTCTTAACAAATAGCAAGATTGTTGAAACTAGTATTAAATTATAAACTTCACTAGTATAAATTGCTTTACATTTGACAGATAGTATGGCAGAATGGAATACATGGGTATTGGACACAATCAGACTTGGGTTTGCACCTATTGCTAAACCTTTAACTTTTGTCAGTTGAAGTAAACCTATGGGTTTTTTCCCCCCATGGAATAGAGGCAGTTAAATTTTAAAAATTGATTTATTTAGTGTGTGTGTGTGTGGGGGGGTGGCACGTGCATGCCTTGGCACTCATGTGAAGGTCAGAAGACAACTTGGAGGAATCAGTTCTCTCCTGCCATGTAGGTCCTAGGGATCAAACTGTCAGGCCGTCAGGCTCAGCAGCAATTATCTTTACCTGATGAGTCATCTCACCAGCCCGAGGAGGTGTCTTAACAGGGTCTCTATCAGAGAGCTGGAGTAACGATCAGAACATGTGGAGTGCTTGGCACAGAAGAGGCACTTAGTCAGTGGCCCTTTAATAGTGATATAAAACATTCTTAAAATTTTATAACCGCTCTCAGCTGGGCATGGTAGCCCATGCCTTTAAACTTGGAGGCAGAAGCATGCAAATCTCTGAGTTTGAGGCTACCCTGTTCTACATAGTGAATTCTAGGATAGTCAGGGCTATGTAGAGACACCCTGTCTCAAAAACAAAGAAACAAAAACCCCAAATGAACATAAAACAGCTCTCATTTGCTCACCTCGGGCCCTGAATCACTGTATTCACAACCCAACCCAGACTGTCATTTGAAGTATCCAATGACAGTGTGTAGGTATTCATACACTATAATGGATTTTTCTCTATGACTGCTTCTTTGGTAACTATGCACTTCTTTCTTGGCTGCTGGCTCCAGAGCTCATGGGACAAGTATTTTTGTAACCCACTGTAGCAGCTGTGTCCTCATTCATACATTTGCTGGTGTCACTGCCCTCCTCTTCTGTTTGCAGAGCCAGAGCTGTTCATCTGCTGATTGTGCTGGGTGGGGAGTAGCGGGGGTGGCGGGTATTTGTGGATTCTGTCTCAAAATAGATTACTTTTGTCCTGATAAATAATGCCAGGCATTGCAGGAAAAAGAAAGCACATTTCCCAGAGCTGAGGAGTTCACAATTTGAATGTCTTCCAGAAAGTTGTCAACTGTTTAAGTCTGACTTTTAGATAATTAAATCCTTAGCTATTGTAAAGACTCAGGATTCTGAACAATTAAAGAGAAAGCAGTCTCATCTAGATCTTTCTTTCCATCCAGGGCCTCCTCTGTTTGAAGTGACCCATTTAAAAATGTGTTCTGTTCACTCTGATTTCTATTCTATTCTGTCATGTGAATGGATCTTGGGCCAGCAGGGAACTTGGCATTATCTGCTGTAACTTTGAGGTATGTGGCCAATGATAGGGGAGCCAACTGAGCTCTCCAAAAACTCTTAGTTCTCTACTCTGGCCAGTATTAGGGTAAGCATATTATACACACACTTCACATGGTTTTAAAAACTTTTAAACTTAGTGTCTTAGATAGGGTTTTTATTGCTGTGAAGAGACACCATGACTACAGTAAGTTTTTTTTCCGGGTGTGTGTGGGGGAGGTAACTCTTATAAAGAAAACATTTAATTGAGGGTGGCTCGAATACAGTTTCAGAGGTTCAGTCCATTATCATCATGGGGAGCATGACAACATGCAGGCAGACATGGTGCTGGAGCTGAGAGTGTTACATCTTACATGCAACAGGAAGTTGACTGAGACACTGGGTGGTATCCTGAGCATAGGAAACCTCAAAGCCCGCCCCTACAGCGGCACATTTCCTCCAACAAGACCATACCCACTCCAATAAAGGCAACACCTCCTAATAATGCCACTTCCTATGAGAGTATGGGGGCCAATTATATTCAAACTGCCATATTTGGATTTATTCATTTTTAATTTTATGTATGAGTGTTTTGCCTGCATGTATTTATGTTCACCACATGTGTGCCTGGCTACCCATGAAGGTCAGAAGAGGGCATGAGAGCTCCAAGAACTGGATGTTAGGAATCAAACCTGAGTCCTCTGCAAGAGTGACAGATGCTTTTAGCCTCTGAGCCGTCTCTCCAGCACCCCACATAGTCTTTTGTAATATAATGAGATGTAATTGCACTTTTTTGTTTGTTTGTTTCTCTGTGTAGCTTTGGAGCCTGTCCTGGCACTTGCTCTGTAGATCAGGCTGGCCTTGAACTCACAGAGATCTGCCTGCCTCTGTTTCCTGAGTGCTGGGATTAAAGGCATGTGCCATCACTGCCTGGCAATGAAATTGTACTTTTAATGATCCTCTGTGTACTTTGCCCTTTGTTCTTTCTTTTTACATCCTTCATAACTTTTATGGCTTCATATTCCTTGAGAGACTTTTCCAAAATGTGATTACCTCTCCATTATAAAAACTGTATTCATTATGAGTGTGTATGTGTGTCACATACTCACCACAGAGTACAGGTGTGCACGTGCCACAGTGGACATGTAGAGGTTAGAGGACAACTTTCAGGAGTTGGATTGCTCCTTTCACTAGGAGTTCCAGGAATCAGACTCAGGTCATCAGGGTTGCCTGACAAGCACTTTTACCCAAGGTGCCATTTCATCAGCTCTCCCTCTGATGATTAAGTACCATCTCTTCATTTGTAAGAGGAGGTGTAGCATAGTGGAGAAACTATGGACTTCAGAAACAGAAAACCCCAAATCCTATGCTAGATTTGGGGAGTTACTATGTGGCTTTGAGGTAAATTTAGTATCAGTTTTCTGCACTGTAAAATAGGGTTAGTAATACTTAACCTTGTGTTGTGATTTAAATACAGGATAGGAATTCAACAAAATAGAGATGGATGCAAATAGATATATCGCTGCAAAGAATCCCATTTATTCATTTCTTTCTAAATTTTCCCCAAACCAAACTTGATTGTGTACATTGTACCTGAGAGGAACAGGTTCTTGGGTTCCTGGGCTCTAGGATAACTCAGCATAGAGGTCATTGGATGATATAAAGTGTCTCAGTGAAGTAGTTTGAAGTACTGTATGTAAACTGAAGTAGTAAGTAAACCTTTTGTCTGTCAGGGCCTTTAAGCATTGTCTTAGGAGATGGTTCTTGATTTTGAACAAATCTTTAGGAAAGTCTGTAAGCTGCAAAAGCTCAGGATTTCCAGCCCTCTTCCCCAGGAAATCCTGCCAGGCATGCTTACTTTTAATGACATATATTTTTACTTCAACATTTAATACCTCTGGTTTCTGTTAGCTGTTTAATGTAAGCATATCTTTCCATCAACTCTATAACAAACCTTATTCCTTAGCTGTCATCCCCACCCCACTCCTGCCTTGGCAACAGTTAATCTACTTCCTTTCCCTATAGACTTGCCTACTCTGAATATTTCATAGAAAGGGAATCTACCATACAGTATTTGGTCTTTTATGACTTGCTTGCTTGTTTCGCTTAATGCCTTTACAATTTATTGTGTTCATTACATTTTGTTTTTATATTCCTTTTAATATGCAACACAGTATTTGGCACTTAGGAGGCTTTTTAAAAAGAAACTTTCTTGCCTGGAAAGGGCACAAGGACCTAGATTTGTTTTCTAGCACCTTAACAATAGCAATAAACAATCAAACAAACAAATAAATAAACTGTTTTAGAATAGCTTTAGATTTATCCCCCAAAAAAGTGTTAACAGCATGAAGAGTTCACATAAACCCCACTATTCTCTATTAACATTTTAGGGCCAGTGAGATGGCTCAGGTAAAGGAACTTGCTAGGCTGCCAACCTGAGTTTGATTCCTGGGACTCATGTGGTAGAAATAGAGAACTGAGTTCCTCAAGTTGTCCTCTAATCTCCACATTTACTCTCCCACCTTAAATAAATACATGGAAAATTATATTAATAGTATAATTTCTATGATTAATAAACTAGTATTGATATCCTATTATTAACAAAAACCCATACTGTATTCGGGTTTGTTTTGTTTTTATGTAATTGCTTTTTCTGTTCCAAGACCCATCCTGATATTATATTCCATTTTGTCATCATATTTCCTTAGGCTAGTCTTGACTGGGACAGATTTTTGATGTTTTTTGTTTTGTTTTGTTTTGTTTTTTCGAGACAGGGTTTCCCTGTGGCTTTGGAGGCTGTCCTAGAACTAGCTCTTGTAGACCAGGCTGGTCTCGAACTCACAGAGATCCGTCTGCCTCCCGAGTGCTGGGATTAAAGGCATGCGCCACCACCTCCCGGCTTGATTTTTGAAATTATTACCCATGATGAGCAGAATTTCAGACATTTAGAATTTATTATCTAGTTTATAAAAAGAACTTCCGTTGGCCATATTCTTCCTTAGTAAAACAGTACACTGAGCTTGCAGATGAATGCTAGCAAGGCAGAGTGAGATTAAAATACCAGTTGCCTCCCTACATTAGTATTGTTTTCTTACATGTGGCAGTATGATTATTACTGTTGCTATTGAGAGAAATAGTGTGCTGTAAGAGAGGCATCGCCTTTGGAGTGATACTTTCTTTTTAGTCTCTTTTTAAATGTTAACTTTAAAAAAATAAAACCTCTCTGGACTTTAGTTGCCAAAAATTATCTTGTGGTGTTTGAGAATTAAAGAACATTTAAGAAAGCCCCCTTTTGGGGCTGGAGAGATGGCTCAGTGGTTAAGAGCACTGGCTGCTCTTTCAGAGGACCCAGGTTCAATTCCCAGCACCCACATGGCAGCTCACAACTGTCTGTGACTTCAGTTTCAGGGGATCTGCCACCCTCCCACCAATACACACATAAAATAAAGTTAAATTAAAAAAAAGAAAGCCCCCTTTTGCTACATGGTTAATGGCAGATGTAAAGATGTGTAAAATGTATCAAGTTGGAAAAGGGAAATGGGATGAAAAATTGTGGGAGAGAGGTTCTGGTTTTTAAACATTTTCTGTTGTGGGCAGAGTAAGAAAAAAGGACTGTGGTTTGTTTGCATGATAGGTGTTTGCTAAGTAAGAACTCTTTGGTACATTTTGGTTTGTATACTGTGTTTTCCTGGTGAGAAGAGGTGCTTGGCGTTCTGAAAGGCTAAAGACCTCACATGATTGTTGTCTTGTAGGTGCTGGGCCTGTGGAAAGATACCGTTTCCAAGCAAGCCTTCTCTCTCCTAAGGTAAGGATATTAATGATAAATACAGCTAGCTGACATGGATGTTGCTTTCATGTTCACTGTGTATCTGCAAAGCATTTCAAATTTTAATTCCCTGCCACGTTGCTCCTTCACCATTTTCAGAAAAAGGAAGTTCCATTCATTTCATTGCTCAAAATCTTGGAGTTACCCTCGATACTGTTACTTCTTTTGTTCCACCATTTATCAGCAAAGCCTATTGGCCTCACTGTTGCATACACAGTCAAACCATTTTTTACCTCCAGTTTTCAGCATCGTGCTTCCAGTTTTGCTAAACTCTGGGGAGTCAGCTTCTCATCTCTCCATGTTTACTTTTTTTCCCCTTCATATTGAAATTGGAGTGATTCTTTCAAAATATATTCAATTACATCATTCCTTTGCTCAAAATTCTCAAATGGGAAGCTATCTATATTAACTGAGGTCTTCGAATTATTATCAAATAAGGATTGGCTTCTAGTCTGAGAGTATGGTTCATTATGGTGGAGAAGGTGTGGCCTCAGAACAGGAGTACCACATTCACAGTCAGATAGTGGAGAGGTGAAAGCTTGTACCTCACTCTTTACTTTCTTTTTATTCAACCTGGGACCCCAGCCCATGGGGTGGGGCCACCCACATTTAAGGTCTGTCTTTCTCTGGGTTTAAACTTCTCTGGGAACAACTTCCTAGACATACCCAGAGGTGTTGTCTCCTAGGTAGTTCTAAATCCTGTCAAGTTGATAATGAAGACTATTATACCATCTTACTCAAAATAAATTCCACAATCGCCTACAACACTTAATAACTGAAATCTAAAGAGAGTGAAATCTATTGCTTTAAGATGATATAACTATGGAGCTGGATGTTGGTGGCGCACACCTTTAATCCCAGCACTCGGGAGGCAGAGGCAGGCAGATCTCTGTGAGTTCGAGGCCAGCCTGGTCTCCAGAGCGAGTGCTAGGATAGGCTCCAAAGCTACACAGAGAAACCCTGTCTCGAAAAAAACCAACCCCCCCAAAAAAAACAAAAAAGAAGATGATATAACTCATATTAATTAGGATTAGGTTTCAAATCCAGCGTTTTTGTTTGCTTTTAAATCACATGTATTGAAGCCCCTCAGTATATTTTCATCATTATTTATCTATTTGATAAACATCTGCAATGATACCAAGGCATTTTACATCTGATCTCTAACTGCCACAAAATACAGAACAAATACAAATGCCATCATTTTACAAAATAGGAAACTGACTCAGTTAAAGAGAGCATTTCGGTTCCACGAGAATACCTTTTTTTAAAAAGAGGAAATAACTGAATTACAGTGACATCAAACCTCTAGCTTAAAGTCACAGTTCAGAAATGGTTCAGTCAGCATTACATCACAGATTTGCTTTCTTCAAGCCTCAGTTTAGTTTCACATTCTCAGAATTCTCCAGTTACCTCGTCAGCTGAAACAGAGCCATCTGCTTGTCCTGTTCTCCTGATTCCCGGTGCAGCCTGGCTCTCGTCCATTTCTCTCCATCTTCTCAGAGTCTTCTCTAATACTGCAAGGGCCAATGTTCACCTCACCAATTGGTTCATCTGCTTCACTCTCACGTCTTTCCATCTCATCTCTTACTGTTGCTGAGTTTTTAAAACTCATGCTTGATTGTTTCACTCCTGTTTTAAACTCTTCCAGGAGTGTTCCCTTGCCTACACGGGGTAAAAACAAACAGTACAGCTTATGGAGTCTTCATGACCTGGCTCCTGAATGCCTCTCCAGCCTGAATTTTTCTCCCTATCCTCTAATCTCCCTCCTAAGTTCTACTCATATCCTGTTTCTTGCTGTTTTCCATACTTGGGCCTAAATTCTTTTCCTGTCATACTAAGTAATTGAGATCAGTTCCATTCTTCTCCTGTCCACTCTTCTCCTGCTTTTCTTTGTATTATTTTGCAGTATCCCCTAATACTTTGAGTATGCTAGACAATCCCTCTACCATTGAGCTACACCCCAGCCCATAGTCACTTTTATTTTTAAAAGTTTTTTTAACAGCCTTTATCTCAAGTTTATTTGTAAAAACAACATAGGGTACTGACTATCTGTGAATATTGTGTAGGTATGTCATACCAGGCCATCTTGTCTTCACAATGGCAGATAGAAGCCTTTTCTATGGGGCCTTTAAAGGGGATTGGACGCCTTTGGGAGCCTGAGCTGGACCTGAAGCCTGAACCAAAGCTAGAGCTGTGGCCTCTGCTGACTTTGGTTGGCAGAACCTGCAACCCTTGGCCATGTAGTTTCGAATCTGCTTCCCACGCTTGGGGTGAGCAATGAAAGTAAGACAGTTGAAGCTCTTTGGCAGTTCGGACCTTAGGCTTCCCAGGATCTTTAATGACCTCTGCACATGGACTCATTGCCTTCACATTGTTTGCCTGCATCTTTTTCTTTCTTGCTGTGCTTCTTGGCAAAGAGCATGTTCCTCAGGAACTTGGGGTCAGTGTAGTGGGACCTTTTCACTAGGATCACTGACTCCCCAATAATGACATAGAGTCTTATTATTATAAAAGCTCAGCTGATAGCTTAGGCTTGTTTTTAACTATCTCTTATAACTTAAATTAACCCATTTCTATTAATTTATGTCCTGCCCCTTGGCTTTATTACCTTCACTCTGTACGTCCCATGTTATTCCTGCTTCTTCCATGTCTGGCTGGTGACTCTGCCTTCTTCCCAGCATTCTCTGTGCCCCAAAAATCCTGACTATTGTCCGTTTAGCTTTTTATTAAACCAATCATAGTGACACATCTTCATACAGTGTAAAGGAATATTCCACAACAGGTTGACTTCTTTCTGACTTTTTTTTTCCTTTCTTCCTCCCTCCCTGGCTGTCCCGGAACTAGCTCTGTATACTAGGCTGGCCTTGAACTCAGAAATTCACCTGCCTCTGCCTCCTGAGTGCTGGGATATAAGGCGTGTGCCACTATCACCACCACCCCCAGCTGTGACTAGGGTTTCTTGATGCCATTTCTGTGCCATTTTCAGGATTGGATGTGTGTGGTGTGGTTCTTGGACTTGGCCATGTCTGCATGGTAACCCAAAGCTTCCAAAGCATCTGAGATTAGAAGAGAAATAATTTTTTTAAAGATTTATTTCTTATTTTATATTATGGGTGTTTTGCTAGCATGGAGAGGGCACCAGACGATTGTTAGCTCCCAAGTAGGTTCTGGGGATTAAACCCAGGTCCTGTGGAAGATTAGTCAGTGCTCTTAATCACTGAGCCTCCTTTCCAGCCCCCAGAGAAATAATTTTTTTTACATTCTATGTGTATGAGTAGTTTGCCTACATGCATGCCTGTTTCCCTGGGGAGGCCAGAAGAGGGCATTGGATTTCTTGGAACTGAAGTTATAGACAGTTGGGAGCTGCTATGTGGGTCCTGGGAACGGAACCTGGTCCTTTACAAGAGCAGCAAGTGCCTGAAGCTCTGAGCCATCTCTCCATCCTCTAGTTCCTGATTTTAAAACATTCAGTTTAAATAGTTCCATTTCCCTGTTTCCACCTTCCTGGTTGAGGAGATCACACCTCTCTTGACTCTGGTACATGTTTCTGTTCTGGATCAGTGCTGTCTCATTTGTTTATATTTACCATTCCAAAGTAAACCTCATAATAGATACTGTACTTAGTTTACATCCTCAGGACCACTTTAACTGGTATATAGAAGATGCTTAATAATGTTTGTGGAAGGAGAGAGTAAAGAAGTATCTATGTTAGCGTATCCTAATATGGAGCATAACGGTTTTAGTAATTTTGCAAGTAAATGTGAATATCTAATTATATTCAGCATACTTTTCTCTCTCTTTTTAGATTCAGAATTTTGGGAGAGAATCCCATTTGTTCTGCAGGTAAGTGATTATTTCTTGGTATGGTCTGCTTTATGGAAATGACCCTCTAGCACTCGACAGTGATTTTGTTTAGAATGTCAAAGGTATCTTTTAGGAGGGTGGCAGGGGCCAGATCTTTCCTTCATAGGTCTAGAACCATGGACAAAAATATGAAGTGGTTACAGCAAAAGCCCTGTAGTGAGTTTGGATTCCAATTCTACCATTTCCTTTTTCAGTGATTAATTGTTTGTTTTCATTTTTTTGTTTTGAGAGGTGTCTCTGTATAACCCTGGCTGTCCTAGAACATGCTCCGTAGACCAGGCTGGCCTTGAACTCAGAGATTCACTTGCCTCTGTCTCCTAAGTGTTGGGATTAAAGGCCTGTATCACCACCACTACCCACTAACTGAATTGTTTATTATTTTGAGACAGAACCGTACTGTGACATCTAGGATAAAGCTATGTTCCATGTCTAGCATATTTTATGACCTTTGACTATCTCTGGAGCTTGATTTCCTCAATTTAAAACTGAGGATAATTCTACTGTAAATTGTAATGAGGTGTTTGAAAATTCAATGAGCAAAACATACACAGTTTTTTTTTTTTTTTTTTTTGGTTTTTCAAGACAGGGTTTCTCTGTGTAGCTTTGGAGCCTATCCTGGCACTCTCGCTCTCGAGACCAGGCTGGTCTTGAACTCACAGACCTTTGCCTGCCTCTGCCTCCCGAGTGCTGGGATTAAAGGCGTGTGCCACCCGATTTTTTTTTTTTTTTTTAAATAGCTGCTTCTCTGGTTATTATAGCACTGCTACTGTTTCAAACCTGTTTTTCAAGTACACACTCAACCAGGCTAGGGCTTTTTCAGTCTTTCATCAAATTGAATGTCCATTCAATTTCATTTACTCAATTACTTTTAGTCTATGTCAGTTGAATTACTTGATATGTTTGCATTATCTGTCACGACACATTTCAAAGTAGCCAGTGTTGGTTCAGACTTCTAGAGTCATGTTAAGTACAGTTCAACCTGGAAAGAAGTTTACTGGTGTAAAACAATCCCATGTGCATGTGAGGCATAATTACTATGAAACTCTTCTCAAAGTACATGTCATTTCCTCCATGAAGATGGGTTCTAAGGACAGGCTACATCTGTTATCTTAAGGGCCTAGAAGGGGGATCTGATGTGGTCTTAGTCATACCAATAGCTCAGAGGTTATCTGGGCTATTAGCCACCTCCGCTCCTTCTGGTGGGAGCTTGGTGTGGCCAGACCCTATAAGTGTAAGAATCATCTAGGCTATTAGTCACCTCCATTCCCAGTCTTGTGGGCAGAGAACAGGTTATATATCTTTTTCTGCATGTTTAAGAGTCCTGATTTCCCTGGTGCTATCTTTGAGCATAAGGACCTTTGTGTTCTAACAGCTGTTTGTCGTGAGATAAAGGAAGAAGGAAAAGAACAAATATGGACTCAAGTGTGAAAGACAGTATGTAAGAGGCTTTAAATATGATAATAATCAGAATGGTTGCAGGAGTGAATAAGTACTGCTTTAGTACTGGACCCAGAGCTAGGTATACCCAGACACCAGCTTCTTTGTGTGTGTGTATGTTTGTGTGTATGTGTGTGTGTGTGTGTGTGTGTGTGTGTGTGTGTGTGTTCCAGTTGTGTATGCCAGAGGTTGGCATTAACTGCTTTTCTTAATTTGTGTACAGTTTTGAGATAGTATCTGTCATTTAACCTGAAGGTCACTGATTTCGGCTAGACTAGTTTGCGAGCCCCAGGGCCCCTCCTATCTCCCGCTCTCCCCACCACAGGGGAGAGTGTGCTGCAGTGCTTGATTTTTATTTTTTCTTTTAATTTTTATTTTATTCTTAGTTTTTGGCTTTTCAAGGGTTTCTGAAACTCACTTTGTAGACCAGGCTGGCCTCAAACCCACAGAGATCTACCTGCCTCTGCCTCCTGAGTGCTGGGATTAAAGGTGTGTACCATCTATGCCTGGCTAGTGCTTAATTTTTTATGTGGACACTGGGTATCTGGACTCAGGTCCTCATGCTTGCAAGACAAACACTTTATTGACAGCTATTGTCCCTACCTGAAAATGTGATTATCGTGTTGGGGCCGGAGAGATGGGTAAGAATTTGTACTGCTTCTGCAGAGGATCTAAGTTGAGTACTGTAAGTCACTATTGGATCGCTGTGGTCCATATTACTTTTAAGAAGTTGGAGACTAAATAATTCAAGGAAAAACTGTCAGGAGGTAAATTATTAGTTATTTTGTAAGATTAAAAAATATAGAAAGTATAAAGGTCATACATCAGCCAGGTACACTGGTGTGATCTCACATGCCTGTTATCGTAGCACTTGAGAGGCAGAGGCAGAGGCAGAGGCAGAGGCAGAGGCAGAGGCAGAGGAGTTGTTCCAGTTTTGAAGCCAGCCTGAACTAAATAGAGAGCTCTAGGTCATCCAGGGCTATATAGTGAGACCCTGTCTCAGAAGGAAAAAGAAAAAGAAAGAAATAAAGAAAAACTCAAAAAGGTTGCAGTACTTTAAAAAAAAATGTTTCTTTTTAAAGCCCAGTAAATGTTGATCTGATAAGGGAAAATGAGAAAAGACTCCCAAGAGAGTCATTGGATCCCCTGGAACTGGAATTACAGATGGTTGTGAGCTGCCATGTGGGTGCTAAGAATTGGATCTGAGTTCTCTGGAGAGCAGCCAGTGTTCTTAAAACTGTGGAGTCGTCTTTCTAGCCCCTGTAAACACTTTTAGTAGACAAATTAGCACCTTTTTATTTCATATGCTTTATATGTTTTCCAGTCAACTGTGCCATGACTGTTGTTGTTTTTTTTTTTTTTTTTTTGATGGCCATTACATTTCTGTATAAGGCAAATTTATTAATCTTTGATTTCTAAATTTTGTTTCATGCTTAGTGAGATCTCCTCTACCCTAAGATTTGTTTGAGACAAAGGCTGGCCTGTTAACTTATTATGTAGCCCAGGCTGTCCTTTAACTTAAAGAGCTCCTTCTACTTCGGCCTCCTTTGTGCTGTTGTAGGTGTGTGTCTTCACACCTGGCAGACAAGGTGATGATGGTCATGATGATGATGCTATCTTCCATTTTGGAGCTGGAGATGTATTTCATTTGGCACGGTGCTTACTTAGCCCTGGATTCAGTCCTCAGCATCTTATGAACCAGTCACGGTGGTGTGTGCCTATAATACCAGCACTTGGGAGATGGAGGCAGTGGGATCAATCCTTCAAGGTCATTCTTTGCTTCATACCTAAATCCAGCCAACCCAGGCTATATACAATTTCAAAATTATATTATAATGATGTTCAGGAAGATAAGGAACAGTGCCTCATTTCTACCTTCAGTTATCCACTTAATATATGGAATTTGGGTACCATCTCAGCTGCCTCTGTTCAAGGAACGCCTGCTTGTGGTCACTTCCTTTTTCTTGTTTATTTGGACATGGTAGTTCAAAGCAAATATATAAAAAGAAAGTAAATGAAGGGACCTCAGAGCATGAGCAAAAGGTAGAAAGGAACATGGTATATTCAGGCCTAAGAAGCATTGAGGGGAGCACAAGAAGATATTTGACAAAACAGCATGGGCAGCCACCAGGAACATATCATTGCAGGCCACTTTATAGAATATGTGGAGAACCATTTTTGTTTTGTTTTTTAAATATACATCATACATATATTGTTTGCCAGATGCTAGCATTTTCTTTGTCCTTGGGGGACTTGAGTCTATTGCATAGAGAGAATATTCTGTAATTAGATTCCTGGCTGGTGCTATTCCAGTTTCATCCCTTGTCTGCCTTCATGGCTCTGCTGAAAATGCTTATTCCAGCTTCTAAAGAGAAATAATTAAAATAAGAGTTGTTTACTCTTATCCTAGATTGACAGATTTGGTTCACATTAGTAAACAAGAATTCTGAAGGACAGCCATGGTGGCACAGACAAAGGAAAGGGGAGAAGTCAGCGTGGGTTTACATCTTACAGTTGTGGCAACTGGATAATTTTTAAACTGAAACAAGGGGTTTTGTGTCAGTGAAGGGTGGCCTTTTCTCCCAGGAGGCTGGCTGTTAGTGAGACAGCAGGAAACCCAGCTTAGTGACACAGAGTAGAGGGGAAGAAGCCAGTTGAATTTACTGGGAATAGGAGGCTTTCAAGCTTACACACTTAAAAATAAAAACAACTGTCTAATTAAACAGCTTAACCATGGACAGTTTGACCCAGACCTTTCATTTAGGGGGAAATGGTTAATTTAACAGTAGTTAGAGCCAGCTTTTTAATTACCAGCAGCTCTAATTATAGGAATTGTCCCAAACTGAATTTAAGAATGTCTCCTTGCCAAGGAACTCCCACAGATGAGAGCCTGAAGCAAGCATTTGCAGCCCTTGCAACTTGGGCTGCATCATCATCTCAAAGATCTGTTTCTTGTCCACTTTTTGAAGTCACTGATGGGTAAATGAATGTCTCTATACTTAATCATGGTGATTGATATCTGGGTTTTTATTTATGATGTTTTTTATTATGTAATTCAGGGAGGCATGAGAGAGCTCTAACTCTGGAGCTGATCTCTGGGTCTTGTGTGTTTAGGGTTACAGAAGGATGTCACCAGGATGAAGGGGACAATCCCCCAATGTACCAAAGGCAACTACCAGACTTCTGTAGACTGGCCAGTAGAATTTACAGAATAGGAGATGAGGTAAAGTAATTGGACCTGGATTATAAAGTCAAGATCCTTAAAATGCTTAGTTAAGAAATATCTTAAGGGCTAGAGAGATGGCTCAGAGGTTAAGAGCACCGCTTGCTCTTCCAAAGGTCCTGAGTTCAATTCCCAGCAACCACATGGTGGCTCACAACCATCTATAATGAGATCTGGTGCTCTCTTCTGGCATGCAGACATACATGTAAGCAGAATACTGTGTACATAATAAATTAATAATTAAAAAATTAAAAAAAAGAGAGTAAGAAATGTCTTCAGGCAGTGAAAAGCCATCAAGCATTGAAAAATACAGCAAAACTCTTTTCTGTCACATCTAGTGCTGACTGGTAGTATGTGACCAATAATGACTACTTCTAAAAATGGAGTCAGGTGGTGGTGGTGCTCTGTGAGTTCAAGGCCAGCCTGGTCTACAGAGTGAGTTCCAGGACAGGCTTCAAAGCTACAGAGAAATCCTGTTTTGAAAAACAAAAAATAAAACAACAACAACAACAACAACAAAACATAACTGAGGAGGCTGGAGCAATAGACCAGAAATTAAAAGTACTTGCTGCTCTTGTAGAGGACCTGGGTTGTCTCCTGCTACCTATATGTTAGCTCACAACAATCTGTAGCTCAGGTTCCAGGGGAATCTTCTGCCCTCTTCTGGCCTCTGCAGGCACTGCATGCATGTGGTGCACATATATACATGCATACAAAACACTCATATACATAAAACGAATAAAATCCTTTAAAAAACATAGCATAAATACAATTTCTTTCTTTATTACATTTATGATTAAATCCAAACCCTTAACAGGGCCCAGCTTTGCTGGTTTCAGTCCCCCAATTCACTGTAATACCTTGGGTAGGGCCTACTGACTTGGTGTCAGCCACACTCACAGCCTTTCTGCTTCTTGCATGTGCCCCATATTAGAGTCTATATGCTGTTCCTTCCACTATAACACTTACCTTCCACCTTTTCCTTTAATAAACTTCTATTTGCCTGTGAAATCTGTTATTATATTTTGTTATGTTTAGTATATTATTACAGAAATTCAAGTATTATGACCTAGTGGTTTTCAGCATGAACTACCTAGTCAGATAGACCCAAGTGTAAGTAGTAATTCTACATAGATTGACTTGGTCATTCTGCCAGATTTTGTGAGCTCCCTGTATTAGTTAATTTTTTCATTGCTCCAGGCAGATAACTGACAAGAAGCAGCTTAAGTAAGGAAGGGTTTGCTTTGTTTCACAGTTGGAAGGTACACAGTCTGGCTTGGTGGGAAGCATGGTGGCAGGAACAAAAGACGTCTGGTCACACTGTCAGGAAACCGAGAAATGGAATGCTGGTGCTCAGCCAGCATCTCTTTTGTGTAGCCCTCCACCTCAGGCCATGGAATGGTACCACCCACATTACTGCCTCATTCACCTACTGTAGACAGTTCCTCACAGACTTGCTCAGAAGCTCGTCTTTTTGGTGGTTCTAATCCTGTCAAGTTGACAGTTAATACTAATCATTACACCGCCATTTTATTTTTATTTCTGGGTAAAAACAAAAATGATGGAATATAGAGAAAAACGAACAAAGAGAATATAGAGAAACCAACAAAAACGCGTGTGTGTGTGTGTGTGTGTGTGTGTGTGTGTGTGTGTATTTGAAGGCAAGATATAGACACTAAGTCCTCCTGAGCCCACTGTTTTTCTTAATAATGACATATATACCTGTACCTAGATTTTTTGGGGGTGTTCACTTAAAATACATATTGACCATTGTGCTACAAACACAAATAAATCACATTTTCGTTTATTTGTTTGTGGTAGCTGGGCTCAGGCTTGAGTGGAAGCATTAGACAAATGGTGAGCAGCTAAGCTGCATACAGTATTGCACGATTTTTAAGAGTTTATAGAAGCTTCTCAATGTCACGAGGTCCCATTTATTAATTGTCGATCTCAGTGTCTGTGCTACTGGTGTTATGTTCAGGAATCAGTCTCCTGTACCAATTCGTTCAAGGGTATTTCCCACTTTCTCTTCTAACAGGTTCAGTGTGGCTGGATTTATGTTGAGGTCTTTGATCCATTTGGACTTAAGTTTTGTGCATGTCAATAGACATGAATCTATCAGCAGTCTTTTACATGCCAGCATCCAGTTATGCCAGCCCCATTTGTTGAAGAAGCTTTCTTTATTCCATTGTATAACTTTAGCTTCTTTGTCAAAAATCAGGTGTTCGTGGGTGTGTGGGTTAATATCAGGGTTCTCAACTCGATTCCATTGGTCTACCTGTCTATTTTTGTGCCAATACCAAGCTGTTTTCAGGACTGTAGTTCTATAATAGAGCTTGAAGTCAGGGATGGTGATGCCTTCAGAAGTTCCTTTATTATACAGGGTTGTTTTGGTTATCCTGGGTCTTTTGTTTTTCCATATAGAGTAGAGAATTGTTTTTTCAAGGTCTGTGAAGAAATGTGCTGGGATTTTGATGGGGATTGCATTGAATCTGTAGATTGCTTTCGGCAAGATTGCCATTTTCACTATATTCATCCTACCTATCCAAGAGCATGGGAGATCCTTCCATTTTCTGGTATCTTCTTTAATTTCTTTTTTTCTTTAAGGACTCAAATTTCTTACGAATGGGGATTGCATTGAATCTGTAGATTGCTTTCGGCAAGATTGCCATTTTCACTATATTCATCCTACCTATCCAAGAGCATGGGAGATCCTTCCATTTTCTGGTATCTTCTTTAATTTCTTTTTTTCTTTAAGGACTCAAATTTCTTACGATACAGGTCTTTCACATTTTTGGTTAGCGTTACCCCAAGGTATTTTATGTTGTTTGTGGCAATTGTAAAGGGTGATGTTTCTCTGATTTCTTTCTCCGAGCATTTATCATCTGTATATAGTAGGGCTATTGATTTTTTTTTTGAGTTAATCTTGTATCCTGCCACTTTGCTGAAGGTGTTAATCAGTTTTGTTTTGTTTTGTTTGGTTTGGTTTGGTTTGGTTT